AAAGGTGACAGGGGAGGGAGCTCCAGCACACAGCTTGTGATTGATAAAGGGGGAGATGTCCCTTCCCTCCAATCAGCTCTTAGAAGTTCCACACTGAGTGTAGCTTCAGCTCCTCGCCCCCTGCTTTCTGAAAGCTCAGACAAGCTGAATAAATTCTGAACTTTGAACTGATGTAGAGAAGAGATGGCTGCAGATAGACAGGTACAACTTATGTAGGAGGATTTGTTTCATTTTTGTGTATCATCTGAGGCCAGGACCTTCAATGGGTATATGTAAGGGTTTACAATCACTTTAAAGTGACACTAAATATTCTTATTCCTGAAAAATCATCAATACAGATCCCCCGCTCAATGGCCCTCTAATCTATTTTTCATAAAAGTATTTTTTGCTGTGTTTTTTCTGCCTCTGCAACATCCTCTGTGAGCCCCCGAACCTCCCCCTTACAGCCTTCTGTTTGGAACGAGCAGTGCACGTTAGTTGAAGTTATGTGCACTGCTCTATGTACACTACAAAGCCCATTGTTTATAGTCCATCTCAGGGGTGTGCAGGAGAGGGTTTCCTACATACAGTGTATCCATGGAGATCGAACATAAGCACCCTCTAACAGGAAGTCAGACCACAGCAGCAGAAAAAATGAATATGGAGATGTGGAGGAGGCCGAGAGCAACAGATGGGACTTTGTTAAGTTAAAGCAGAGCTCCACCCAAATGGGGTAGTTCCGCTTGAGGGCTTCGTTCCCCGCTCCTCATTAAAGATTGCAACCTTGGGGAACAGGGGGGGTACCCAATTTTGACAGGTACCCGCTCCCATTTCACCTAGGTGATTGGAAGCGTAAGTTGTCCTCCCTCCCCGTAGTCTGGGACATGTGACTACGGGACCATTCACAAAGTGTAGCACTACTCATGCATGCACAGTGGGCACCTGGCTGTGAAGCCATAAGCCGTCGCAGCCGGGTGCCCACACTAAAGATGCCGGCGCTGGGGAGCGAGGATGGCCAGTGAACCTGGCTGTGGTGAGCACACCGCTGGTGTCAGGGATCGCGGCGTCCTGTCGGCCGGCGCATGCGCACTGGCCACGGCTCACGCCGGGACACAGGCACTAGGTCCCGGCGAGCCGTGGATGACAGGATGCCGCGCATGCGCAGTGGGACCCGCGGGCGCGCCTCGGGCGGCCAATGACAGCCCGGGGGCGCGTCCCGAGCGGCCAATGACAGTGCAGGGCGCAATATTTAAAGATGCCCTGCACTGTCAGTAATCGCCGCAAGGTCTATCTGAGTTCCTGAGTCCTGTACCTGTGTTTTTTGACCCTGTTGACCCTGACTACGCTGCCTACTCCTGTGTTGACCCGGATTGTACCTGACTACTCTGCCTTCTCCCATCCTGACCCTCGGCTTGTTTTGACCTCTCTACGGACAGACTTATCCTGCTGACCCTGCGTGTGACCTGACTACTCTCCGCCTGCCGATTCTGTACCTCGCCTACCCCACGGGACCCCCGCTCGTGATCCATCCTGCTAGGTCCTGCCGTCCTCCTCACATCTGGCTCTCCCGGTACCCATACATCCCCGGAGGTTGCCCCTGCCACTGGTGGGCCTGCTCGGAGGTCGTGACCTGGTCCCGGTCTGTTTCAAGTCCATCCCCACCATCAGGGGCCCTGGTGAAAGCACAGACCGGGACTTAGACTCCACGCTTTGGGTAGGTCTGTCAAGTGGGCAGCCAGGGGCACCACCTGGCGGGTTCTAACAGCTGGTTTGTGAGACAGGTGAATGTATGTTTTTTAAAAGTCAGCAGCCACAGATTTTCTAGCTGCTGACTTTTATTTTTTTACATTTGACTAGACCTCCACTTTAAGAATGCATACTTGAATAGAATATATTTTGTCCAGTGTCACTTTAACCACTTGAATGCCAGACTGTTTCACCCCATTCAATCAAGGAAAATGTTTCAGTTTTTCAGCGCTGTCACATTTTTGAATGACAATTATTCATTTATGCAACACTGTACCCAACTGAATTTTACATACCTTTTTAGACAGATAAAGCTTTCTTTTGGTAATTTAATGTGGTAATTTAATTTAATGTGTTTTATTTATTTTTGTAATAAATCCTGCTGTTGCAATGTGTTAGTGGAGGGATTCTAGAATAAAATGCTTATAGGCATGTATATATGTGTTATACAACAAGGAGAATAAATTGTTTTTAAGGGGACTTTTATTTGTGCAGAGGCACTGTCCTCTTTCTTTTCTGTAAGCAGGCTCTATACACTCTCTGATGACTAGCCTCAACCTGAGTTACAGAATGATACTTGTGTTTTGACTGTAGTGTTAAAATGGACTCAGCAGATGACCACGCATTATTCCACCCCTGTGAACCAGTAATGTAAAATGTGTGCCGCTTAAGCTACAAGGGAAAGCAATCCTGTGTCCACCACTATGAGTGCAGGCAGGGAAGCAGCTTGTCTTAGCTCCAAGCAACTATTAAGCAAAGGATGGATCCCATGAAGCTGCACATCTATGCAGACCTGCTGGTATGGAAATGAATGGCAGTCTAAGCCTGGGTTCCTGCCAGGCCACTCCCCCAAACACATTTCACTTCGCCCCTCTTAGCTTAATCATGGGATCCAGTAGGTCTGCATAGATGTTGCAGCTTCCTGGGATCCATTTTTTGCTTAACAATTACTCCATCCCTCCCCTCCTCTGTAATATAAAACGGGCAAAAAAAAGTTTTATTTATTTACCTTTTTTTAAAGTTCTCCCATATACACCCCATATGTCCTCCCAAGACTTAAAACAAATTACTTTATAACTAAATAAATAGACACACAAGCCAGAATGCAGTAAAAAGACTAGGCCATACCCTCTTTATTGGGTTTTAAAAATATTAATAATAACTCTATTAAAATGATTCTAAAGGCTTATTTTTTTTTTTCAGAAAACATAACAAACATGTCTATATTTACCTGCTGTGTGTATAGGTTTTGCATAGAGCAGCCCGGATCCTCTTCTTCTCGGATCCCCCACAGGCTCTCCTGGCCCCTCCCTCCTGTTGGGTGCCCCCACAGCAAGCAGCTTGCTATGGGGGTACCCACTGCTCCCTGTGTCCATTCACACACGGAGCCATGGCTTGGCACCAAACCCTCTCTCTCCTCATTGGCTCACTGGCTGTGATTGAAAGCAGTGGGAGCCATTGACTCCCATTTCTGTCTCAGCCAATGAGAAGAGGGAGTCCCGAGATAGCTGAGACTCCAGTGCACATTGTTGGATCGAGAAGGGGCTTAGGTATTAGGGGGGTGGGGGGGATGCTGCACACAAAAGGTTTTTTAACTAAAAAATCATGAACCTTTAGAACCACTTTAAATATTTTTCTGGAATTAAAATTTGACAGTTATCTTTCTAAAAAGGGTCACACTGCTCCCAGAGGTAAAAGAAACAATATTATGAAAACAAATTTAAATAAAATATCCCATATTTTTACAAAAGACACCCCAATTAACATGTCAAAAACAAGACCTCATCCCACTGTCACTGCAGACACCCCCTTATTGATATTAAAAAAAAAAAAAAAAAACAAAAAGGATGCAGACGAATAATTACATTATCATACCTCCCAACTTTCTAAAATAAGACACAGCATACATGTGTATCCTAGGAGGCACCAGGATCTTTGCACATCATTGGTCTAGGCGAGAAAGAAGGTGGGGGGGGGGCATGCAGAAACTTGTACAATACAATGAAAATAAAAGATAAGCTAACAAATAAAAGAGAGAGAGATTTCTGTTGGAGAACAGAAAAGTTTAATTTCAGGGTAAAGGTCTGCTTTAAAACCATATGTGATAATAAAGAGCTTTGTGTGAAACCTTTGGTAGGTAAATATTGCAATCATTATAGAGGCTTACAAAATAGGGGACAACTAAAAACCAAAGACGGGAAGAGGGATTTGGTTCCAAAAGAGGGACAATTGAGAGGTATGCTGTATGCATGATAATTCATACTCCCAGTTAAACCCATGGGAGTGAAGACTATCCAAACCCATTTAGCAGCACAGTGGCTACATGGTTAGCATTTCCACCTGGCAATACTAGAGTTGTTGGTTGAAATCCCAGTCACGGCACCTCCTGCCTGGAGTTTGCATGTTCTCCATGTGCCTGCCTGGGTTTCCTCTGGGTACACCGATTTCCTCCCACACTCCAAAGACATGCAGGTAGGTTAATTGGATCCTCTCTCAATTGGCCCTAGTATGTGTATGTATGAATGTAAGTTAGGGACCTTAGATTGTATGCCGTTTGAAGGTTCGGGACTGATGTGAATGTACAATATATATGTAAAGCGCTGCGTAAATTGATGGCGCTATATACTGTAAGTACCTGTAATAAATAAATACATTTCCCTATCACGTCAATGTCTCAACTGTGGATTCAAATTAATCATCTGAAACTGAGAAACTGCATGCCTTACCTGAACAAAAATTAAATGCAACCATTTGCTATATTACCTTTATGAATCTTTACCTTTTGGCTTCTCTCTCCTATATACAATACACTTCATGGACAACAGATGTGGTGAAAGTTCTCCATCAGTTCCACACTGTTTGCTGTCTTCTCATTGGTCAGTGCAGACACTCCCTTTGTTGTAATTGGTGGAGTGATATATAGATATTTGCTTGAGGTTCCTCTGAGTTGCCAAAGGTGGTCTGATTTTGGCACCTGGATAAGGTGTGCTCTCCTGAAGAACAAGTACTGTACTGTTAGTAAGGAATTATGGGAAAAGGGTCTCATTTTAACCACTTGTATCACAGTAACATCTATGAATGCCACAATGGAAATATAATTTTTTTTATGTGTTTAGCATGTCCACTCCTAACTCATACAGTATGCAATGGTCCTTTTAAAGTACAATACACATTCAAGTTTTATTCAGAAATGAAAAATCAGTACTGATTTGCTAATATTTCATTGTGTCTTTCAATGTCAAAGTAACAACTAGGAACTTATTTTTAATCTTAAGGTAAATGGATTTCATCCAGAATGTAAATTGCAAATAGAGCTAAAAGATGAAGAAAGAAAAAAATGCACGGAAAAGCTGATCAGGCAGAGGACAGCCGGGTTTAGAGGTAAGAGCTCCAGAGAGCAATCTTCCAATTTTTTTCATTTAACGTATGTCTAAAATCAAAGCATGTGGGAGGTAGCCTTCTGTTTTTAAAGAAAAAAAAATTTTATATTAAAACAATATAAAAGAGTGCTACAAAAGAAATTAAAGCAATAATGTTATTTGTAAAGTCTTTTTTGTGTATATCTATGGGGAAAATGCCTACCAGAAGCCTTTTATATTCAGGGTAATTGAAACTTAGATGCCCAAGTGAAATAAAGCAACATCAGTATGGATTAGTTAATTTGACTATGACAATCACAGTATCTGACAAACAGTATAAACACAGAGGCACATTGCCATTGTCAGGCTGCAGTGACATCTACATTGTCATCTGCAGGCTGAAGGCTGATTTTGCAAACCGAGCTTCTAGCCTGTATGTGATCACTGAGGTTGATTTACTTAAACTGGAGAGTGAAAAATCTGGTACAGCTCTGCACAGAAACCAGAAATTAGCTTCCCGATTTCTTTTGCAAAGCTTAAAATGAACAAGCTGAAGTTAGAAGCTGATTGGCTACCATGCACAGCTGTACCAGATTTTGCACTATACAGTTTTAGTAAATCAACCCTAATATATTAAATTATAAGGTATTAAATTGTCATAGAAATAGTCTTTTGCTTAAATATTGTTAGACAATATTTAACTTACAAAGTCCAGATAAGCACTAATTCATGGCAAGAACCGAATCTACAATGTAAACAAATTACATTTTCTGATGTAGATATAGCTAGTTAACTTTAAAAACTAAAGCTGGCCATACACTAGTAGATTTTCAAATAAACTTTAGTGCAAACTTGGTATGAAAACTCATTAAAAAATTCTTAGTAAATTTGATGGTGTGACGAACGTCATTCTAAAGTACTTTAATATTTTATTTACTATAACATTCAATTATGGAAAGAATAGACTACCAAACAAAAACCATATATGCTGTTAGAAAATTTGTTAGAGAAAATGTTTCCATCCTGCAGATTTTTTTGTCACTGCAGTTGAATTTGATTGCAGATTCAGCTCCACTAGTGATTAGAAAAAAAAAAAAAAAAAAACGGGCTTTCTTAAAATGAAAAATGTTGGATGAAATTCTACTAACGTACAGCCAGCTTTCCATATTTCCATGAACAAAAATTCCAAGGACAAATTTTCAAAACTCAGGACTGTTTCCAGGAAGCAGGGTCAGTTGATGATGATTGTGTAATTGCGATTTATTGTGCAGGCAGGTTATTTTTGTATTATCTCTCATCTATGTAGGAATAATAAGCAGGCAAGAGCTTCTTATTATATTTTTATTTATTTTTGGTATACATAAATGATGATGATTGGGTGAAAAATTACTATAAGAAAAAAAGCAAAAGATTGATTTATTGTAATTGGCTAAGAAATATGCCTAGTCATTCTCCTTTATTTAGCAGTTTGGTGGTCAAATTACAGTAAGAATAAAGTAATTTTCTTTTACCACATTTCATTTTTCTTTTTGGTTATCAATGATAACCCCTTCCTGCCTTCAGTTTGTAGATCAATGTTGCCTCAGGATGTCCAATCAGCTTCTAACTTCAGCTTGTTCAATTACACTTTGGCAATAAAACCTGGAAGCTGATTGGTTTCTATGCAGAGCTGCACCACATTTTGCACTCTCCAGTTTTAGTAAATCAACCCCATTGTGTTTTGAGTTTCTCAGAAACAATGCTCTGAATGATGAGTTTAGATAAGGTGATTCATTTTAAATGTTGGGAACTGTGTAAATTCATCCATTTTATTAATATTATTTATTTCCGGAAATATAAATTATACATTGGATCTATATAATAAAAATGAATATGTTTCTAACTGGTCAATGATTGAGAAATTAGTCTCTGGGAGTGCAACGGAGAAGGGACGAGTGGCTTTTTTATACAATTGTATACAGTGGTAGAGTCTTTTTAAGTGGTAAAGTGAGAATGCCTAAGATCTGTGAGAATCATTATGAGGGATAATTGTCCAACTTTATCCTGTTAAAACTGAACTCCAGCCAAAATCTTTGTTTATACATTTGTACTTTTAACAATTAATGACCCCTAATGTAGTCTGTCCCATGTCTGACTTCTACTTTGTTGTTTAAAACTTTTACTTTCATTAACCTCACACAGAGCTGTAAGCACTAAACTTCCAGTGGTGAATCTTATAGTTCATCCAGGAGTACTGAGATCACTGCGGATCACTCACTTCACATCCCCACCATTTACAAAATGCCTTACAGTTGTGTCCAAAATTATTCAACCCCCACTGAAATTGAGTGTTTTGGCCAGTTTGACATTGCTTTTGATCATTCAGTCATCTTGCTTACATTTACATTAAAGAGGCACTTGTAGGTCAGACAAAATATAACATAACAGTTATAATGAAATAACCACAAATGTGTCTTTTCTGTGCTCACAGCATTATCAGTTTTTATTCAACCCCCAAGTGACATTCAATCTTAGTACTTAGTACAGCATCCTTTTACAGTTATAACAGCTTTTAAACGTGAAGCATAGCTTGACACAAAGTGTCTTGCAGCGATCTACGGGTATCTTCGCCCATTCTTCATGGGCAAAGGCCTCCAGTTCAGTCACATTCTTAGGCTTGCGCACTGCAACTGCTTTCTTTAAGTCCCACCAGAGGTTCTCAATCGGATTTAAGTCTGGTGACTGCGATGGCCACTCCAAAATGTTCCAGCCTTTCCTCTGCAACCATGCTCTAGTGGACTTGGAGGTATGCTTGGGATCATTGTCCTGTTGAAAGGTCCAACGTCTCCCAAGCCTCAGGTGTGTGACGGACTGCATCACGTTTCCATCCAATATCTCCTGGTACTGAAGAGAATTCATGGTACCTTGCACACGCTGAAGCTTCCCTGTACCTGCAGAAGCAAAACAGCCCCAAAGCATGATTGACCCTCCACCATGCTTCACAGTAGGCAAGGTGTTCTTTTCATCATAGGCCTTGTTCTTCCTCCTCCAAACATAGCGTTGATCCATGGGCCCAAACAGTTCTAATTTTGTTTCATCAGTCCACAGAACACTATCCCACAACTTTTGTGGTTTGTCCACATGGCTTTTGGCATACTGCAGTCGACTCTTCTTATTCTTTGGAGACAGCAAGGGGGTACGCCTGGGAGTTCTGGCACGGAGGGCCTTCATTACGCAGTGTGCGTCTTATTGTCTGGGCTGAAACTTCTGTACCCACATCTGACAAATCTTTTCTCAGTTCCTCAGCAGTCACACGGGGACTTCTCTCCACTCTACGCTTCAGGTAGCGCACAGCAGTCGAAGTCAGCATCTTCTTTCTGCTGCACGACCAGGTAGCGTTTCAACAGTGCCCTTTGCCTTGAATTTGCGAATGATGCTTCCTAAGGTGTCTCTTGGTATGTTTAACATCTTTGCAATCTTCTTATAGCCATTGCCCTTCCTGTGAAGAGAAATCACCTCTTCTCTTGTCTTCCTGGACCATTCTCTTGCCTTCACCATGTTTGTAACCACACCAGTAAATGTCTAGAAGGAGCTGAGTATCACAGTCATTTTAAAGCTGCCTAATTGGTGCTTATTATGCTTGATTGCTGCTCGGTGACATCCACAGGTGTTTTCAATACCTGATGGAAAGCACCTGTATGAACCTCTGTTCTTCAGAGTGGTAGTCTTTAAGGGGTTGAATAATTGTGGCAATGAAGAAACCACATAAGAACCATTTACTACTGTATTACATAAACAATTGATGTCATTTTAGTTGCATTTGGGTAGTTACAACGTCCTTGTAGGATTTGATTCTGAATACAATTCCAAATGTACACTATAGTCCCTAAACCCCTTTACAGCATTGGGGGTTGTTGAATAATTTTGGACACAACTGTATGTTCTTTTAAATGAATGCAAGGTGCTCTGTGATTGAAGGAAGGGAGATTGTGACATTCATCTGAACCTCCTCCAATCACAGAGCACATTGCATTCAGTGAAAAGAATTTCAAGACATTTTGTGACTGCCAGGGATGCTGAGCAAGCAGTAATCTCAGTACTCCCAGCGGGGCTATAGGTTTCAGTGCTGGAAGTTCAGGACTAACAGCTCTTGCAGGTTAATGAAAGTAATATCAAACAAAAAGGAAGAAGCCACCTAACATGACACGCATACCAGTGTCATGTTCATATCTCCGTCTCACTTATAGTAAGTATGGATTTATAAAACCCAAAATACTTAACATAAAAAATAGCAGTATGACAGGTGCAATACTGCTCACACAAAGTGGTTAATTGAAAATCCAAGCGGAGTAATATAACAACATTTGTTAATAATTACAAAAAAGCTTTATTTGATCTCATGGATCATAAAGAGGTTAGACATAGACATGGTGAACAAGTCGTAATAAAATCACAAAATTAAAAACATTTGGCATCTCCAAGTCTAGTTATTATTCGGCAATCAGGAATCCACATAAGGCAATGAAGTTCCTAACTACATGATCAAAGATTTCCATATGTTTTTCCACACGATATCTGAATAGGGAGATCATTCTTCAAAAACATTTTTTTGTTAACCACCACAATAGACGGAATGACTTCCTAAAATGGAAAACCAAAAAGGAGATCATAGTAGAGGAAACATGAACAGGATATATGCACTTATCATGTGCAGTAACAGAATAACCACATTAATAGGTACATTGATTGTTCCATTACCTTCTCATGAGCTTGACCATCATGAAAGGATGGATATGTGACCTTCCTGGGTAGCCACCCCAGATGGAAGTGAATCCACAATAGAAAGTGATTCTAAAGATGTATAAATATAAAACGTGAATATCAAGCAGCACACCTGAATGAAACTAAATAAGGGTAAAACATATATATACTGTATATTACCATACGCAAGATCAAGGAGACTCCACCTCACTTGAAGTAAGATCAGGTCTTGATATAGAATGTTGAATATGGGGGTGGGGAACCAGGTGGTTTATGTATAAA